AAAAAAAAACACCAAAACAAAAAAAAATCACCAGCTTTGGAAATTCAGAGGGTTGGTGCCTGATCAATGTGGTCATCAATACTTGGTTCCATATTGTCCTGTCACTGTAAGATTATACTTGACAATGAAATCTCAATACAGAGATTGGCCCTTAGGCAGACCTGAAAGAACACAGCTATGTACCAAGACATCTGAAGTGCCAGCATAGGCCTTGTAAAGTTCTCACAATCACAGACTGCAAAGAGCCTCAAGACTATCATAAACTATGACAAGGACCAGACTTTATTTCTAGACACATTGACTTGAACTAAGGATGTTCTTGTACGTTCCTCTTCCAATAGTCTAGCTGGTCCAAAGGCTTCTCTGGGTGTAATGAGAAACTGAATGAGAATCTTTAAAAGTCCTCTCAAAAAGCAGAGATAACCTGTGTCACAAATTATCCAAACTTCTCCTGATAATAATAAATCCCCCTCCCATGCCCAAGTTGTGTTTACTCAGTCGTAACTCTCTACACCTAGCAAACAGTCTGGATAGTCTCCCTATTCAGTCCACAGAGGCAAGGACTCCCAGCAGGGATTGCTGACATTTGAGCATCTTGGAGAGTGTACTATGCTATGCCTCATGTACAGGAAAATATAATTCACTTGTCAGATATGTATTTAATCATCCTAATGTTCTCCTTTGTAGCATACCTTTCCTTCTTTCTGACATAAATGAAAATACTAAGCTGAAATGTCTGAGAATATGCATTGGTTGCCTAGAGGTAATAATTCACACATTTTCAAAACAGGTTATTAGTTAGATGCTACTACTGCTTCCTGGTTTGTTTTAACTTCACTTATACTTGCACTGTGAGGTATACAGGCTGGTTACACCGATGGACACGTCTTGAACAGCAAAGGCTGCCACAGAGCTCGTAGGACTTCATCACCCCTCTGAATCACTGAGGCTAGTCAGGCATCAGCCCATCAACCTGCAGCTGCAACTGCCAATATATATATAATTACATCTAGCTGTGTAATAAGAGCCAGGGAAAAGACAGGACATCTGACTGATTTTACAAGAATCTTCAGTAAAGTATTATATTTTATTATAGAAAACCTGATTTGGAATAAAGGACTATTTTTACATGTTAAAAAAAAAATTATAATTTCCATTTAAAAAGCGTGACACCTCTGTGGCAGAATATTTGAAGGCTATTTCATGTGTTTCTAAAGGTGAGCTTTCTTAACTCAGTTTATATAACTCTGACCCAGTAAATTCCACCATTCAGAATAATTATAATACTCACAGAATATACATTGGTTTGCATTTGAGTTCTGTTGTTTGTTCATTTAAAACAAATTCTAAACCTATTTTGAGAAATAAGCCAATTCCAAGCATTATTTAATATCTAGCTGGTATAAATCAGATTAATTCCTCTTTTCATCCAAGTCCCTCTCTCACCTGGTGTGTGGACCCCAGTTCAGCCTAATTTGTCCAATCCCCTACTCAGCAGACCACAAAGCTGAAACTGTCAGGGACTCCAAGTACTCAAGACAGCAGAGAAAAGCAGCAGCCACATACTTAGTTTGGTTTTCAGTCTATTAATTTCACTTCATGCTCTTAGTGAATACTTTTGTAAATATTTTGCAGCTATTACTAAACAGTTGGCTATACTCATACACATCGTATTTCTGTGTACGGTACATAAAATAATGGCAAGAAGGACCAAAATATACTGGGTGCAGCATCACAGTGCTGACAGGTTTCTAAGCACAAGTTACAGTGTGACTGTAAAAACCTGAACACTTAATGTGCATCTATGCTGGCCAGACCCAATTTTATGAATGATAGCAAGACACTTAGAATAAAAAAACCACCTAGAATAAAAGCATCTCTGTGGTAAAAGATCAGATTAATTAGAATAAATTAGCCAAACAGGGACATGAAAGCCAAACTGTTTCAGGCCTCTAGTGCTTTGTCCATCACCAACATCTCTCATTAATCTAGTGCTATGAACACATGTATGTAGTCCAGTCAAGTCTTCAATATCACAGAACAGTTCTTCTGTTGGTTATAACATTTTCTGCTTCCTACAATTGAGTAAACTTTATGGGAGAATGATCTCAAAACGTTATCAGAAAGCAAGCTACAGCTTTAAAAACATCCCCAGTGCACAACCAACCTCCAGGTAAGAGTTACCAATATTGTTTAGCTTACCACCAGCACCTATTTAGCAACCTAACAAAATGGCTGGCTATTTAGAAGCTTACCGTTTCCCTGCTTAGACCTCAGAAATGAATATTTATTCTATATTGAGCTAAAAAACTGCCTTAAATGATCCATGTACAGAAGTTACATTGTCCTGCAGAGTATCATAGGGCAGTTCCAAAAAAAATTTTGCTTTTAAATACCATATACCATAATGTCTTGTGCCCACAGTGCTTCACATGAATTAGAGGAAGCACAGCACCAACATAGGCAAGAATATATTGGCACATGCAAACCACAGGAGCATGAGTGCATTATGTGACTTCACCGTGCAAGCCAAACCCCAAAATATGCAGATACTTCCTTGTTGTGAAATGAAACACATCGTATATTTGTCTTCTGTGTCATAAGACATTCATGTTCAAACCCACAATTATAAACCTTTTCTTTCCATTTCTGAATCCTATTGCCACCTTGCAAAAATAAACATAGACTAAGCATGGTATATTTAAGATGCTTTGAATTACAGTCATGGAGGTTTTTAAGTATTTAATTTTTCTTGATAAGAAACTAAGACAAGTAATTTTGAACTATGAAAGCAAGTCTCCCAAGTTAAAAAAAAAACCAAACCAAACCAACCAACCAACCAACCACCACACCCAAAAAAACACCAACAAAATAACACAAATCCACAAACAAACCTTAATATCTGTTCTTTGGAGAATAAGGGCTGGAATACTGAACCATTTACCAGAAATAAATAAGACAAGAGTGGAATCAGAGAATAGTTGGATACATGGAAGAAAATACACTGCCAAATCTCCATTGATAAGTGTCTGGAGTGAATGCAGGATTCTGGTCTGTTATTACAAAAGTACAATCCTTCACAAAGGAGAAGAGCAGTCCCAACTTAAAGCCTGTTTAAGACTAAATACGCTGCATGCTTCAAATCTACTTTATCTGCTGTGACACAAAAAAGGTGCTTTTTCATTTTTAAGTTGGTTAAACAGTTTGTGCTGAAACACAGTTTAGCTAGTTTAAAAAAAAAAAGACTTTTCTTGTCAAACTACATACTCTTTCCTTTCCCCACCCTTTTTAGACAGGATCCTTTTGATCCCACCTACTCCTGCTCCTATATACAGCAGTCAGGAAACAAGCATCACCATGACAAGGAATCCACCCAGCAGACTCAGAAGCTTCTGGTACTGTTTCACAGCTCCTCTTGCTAACAGTCCTATTCATGCTAGTCAAAGAGTGCTGGATGTATTGAAAAAGAGCCTTTATCAGTCAAAGAAAATTACACCGGACCTGGCAAAACTTTTTTTCATCTAAATGAGCACTGTAAGAAGATCAGCTGATATTACAGTCTAATGCACTAAAAAGCAAAGTCTGGCAACACAAGGCTCCAAAGTTTATTTCATTAAACATCATACAGTGTTAAGTACAGAGAAAAGCAAAAAGTAGCTATACTGTGTTCTAGAAATCCTACTTAAAAGTTAAAACCCAGAGACCTGCACTACAGTTTAATGACATGAGGTTGTTTCTCTTTAACTACTATAGTTATACCCACCTGTTACATTCACTGCTGGCCCAGTCTCGTACTGTGGAACTCCAGAGTTCTGTCTCACACCAAACAGTATACCAGATGTAGTATCTGGTGCAGCTGGTGGAGAATCCATAATATAATCCTAATAAGATATTTTCAAGAGGGAAAAGAAATTTGAGGTTTAACATTTTTTTACTTGCAGGCTTTAAAAGGGTGTATTTTAAAAACATATATGATTGCTTAAAAGTACTTTTAAGTACTTAGCTGTAAATCAAGTTAATTACAACCTCCCCAAAATAATTTCTTTTGACATTTTAGTAAGTTTGCAACTGTCATCAGCGGTTGTTAATTCATTCATAGCTGTGGACTAGCATAATAAAAACAACTATAAGACCTGGGAAAGTCCATTTTATGAGATGTTACTAAACTTGTTTGACTTGCTAATTTAATTTTGTTCAAGAGTGGTGATTTTTCAAATTATACTTGTATTGTTTTTCAGAAAAGTAATACTTTCTTCCTTCAACCTAAACTTAGGCATTTGCCTGTTACTCTTGCATAGCATCTAGCTGTATTTTAAAAGATCAGAAAACAACTCAAAAGCAGCACAAACTTTCAGCAAGAAGAAGCTTCTCAAAGCAACATGATACTAAATCTAATTCTACTAAGTGGTCAAGCTTTAACAAAAGTAAAGATGTATCTCTAACATGTTGACCTGGCATTGCCACTCATTCATGATATCACTAAAGGTTTTTTTCCTTTATGTAATTTCATACAGACTTCTGGAAATAATATAATCAAATCTTTTCAAAGCTCAGCTAACCTAGAATTTTGTTCATGTTTCTCAGCACCTTGTTTTGAGCACCTCAAAAGTACAGGTATGGTCTTACTCGTCCGTTTAAAAGGTTTGTCCTTTAGTACTACATATAACCTAAAAAATGAAATAGTTGGCATTTCTTGACTCCAACACTGAAAACTGTTAAAACTAAACGTCTTCACTGATCACGCAATAGGTAACACTTGGAGGGAAAAGAAACATGACAGTTCATTTTCTACAGATATTCAAGGTTGGGTACAAGATAGGGGAAACACTTTACAAGTCTCATTAATACTTCTCTCATCTTCAATCCTAACACAATCTGAAACATGAAATATTTTCAGCAATAGCTAGCAGAAGTTACAAAAAACCTCATAAACCAGGTTTAATTTCAACATTAAGGTATGAATGGCAAAATACTGGCACAACCTTTCTACTCTGAAACACTTCAGCGGTACTGTGGATCAAAAAACACGACAGAAGTAGCTCCATTTTCCTAATTAAAAAAAATTTAAAAAATCTCCTAATACGTGTACACAGACTTTTTCATCAATATATCCATGAGACAAAGGCCAATATATGTTTTGCTGTAAAGCTCAATCTCACAAAACACTTTCCACTCACAGTTGTGCTACTTACTTGAAAACATCCCTTTGGAAGTTAGCACAATTAACTACCACCACACTGACTAAAGTCGATGGGAAGAAGTCTGAAGTACTGCAAAAATACACATTCAGGTATGATAATCTACTTTAGGACTCCTAAGTACCAGAAAAGATTTGAACAAAAAGGAAGACACCTCTCCCCATCGTTCCTTTTTGTTGTACATCTCTTAAATGAAGATCCTGCAGGACCTTAATGATAACGAAGAGTCATTCTTCCTTCTGGTGAGTGATCTAATCCAATCTAATCAAATTAAACATAAAGCTTCAAGAGTAGTCGTGGAAATTGTTACTAAACTTCTCTGTTCTATTTGTTATATGAGAAATAGCTAAGTGAGCTGCAGTTAGAACAGAGCAGCTGTCTCTGTGGCCACAATGGTTTCAGACCAGTGGGTGAAATTGCAAGCAAAACAGCTTAGCCTGAAAGCCCCACTTCAAGACTGACTAGTGCTCAGATGATAAGCCTGTTGTAAACTTCTAGTGTAGAGGACTATACACACCACCTGTATTTGAAATACGAACAATACAATAGTTACACACAAAATCTGCTTCTCTTACTACTCAGTGGTTTGTTTGTTTTTATGTGCTGCTAACACTTTACCTTTCTTTGAAATAGCAACTTGGGTGTTTTGATGGCCTAGGTACATCTCCCTAGTACATACTAACCCACTGGGCAAAAAAAGTAAAAGCACACATCTTGGAAATTCAAAGTCTCAACATTTTCTAAATGTTCTTTGCTCATTACAATTATTCTTTTTGTGTAATTTGGCTCAGTCATTTTACATATAGAAAATCCCAGTATCTTCCCATACTTTAGAAAACAAAAATTTAAAAAAAAAAAAAAAATCATAGCACCTCCTTTATCATGTGAATGAAAAAAAAAACCCATCAACGTATATAGCTACTCTCACATGCAGAAAGGCAAAACCCAACACCTCTATAAGTTAAGTTCCTATGGCTCAAGTAAAGAAAACTGATCCGCCAGCACTCCTAGTTTTCCAAGTGACCAGTGAAAATAACAGGTTCATACCGTGCATCTTGGATTTCCGAACTGTGGAAAACAACATACTAATGGGTAACTAAATTGACACAGAGAAACTACAATGCATAGTATCAGGCCTTTCCTCTCCCAAAATGAACTAGGAACAATTGGAACCTGAAGCATGCTCAGACTGAGGTAAGCACCTTTGAAAGGGGAAAGGTATGGACAGAATTGGATGGGGCTTACGGGAAAGCTTTGCCACGAACAAGTTTTTCTGAAAGAGAAGGATAGCCCTATGCTACCATATACCACAGCAGTAGCTCTGACTGAATTCGAGTTGCTGTAAACAGTATGACTGAAGCTAAATTCAACTCAGAATTTCTGGAACTGCATTAACATAGCGCAGTAACCAGAACACAAAAACGAGACTTCCACAGAAACTCAGTGAATCGAATCTTGTGATTGGAAAGGACTATTTCAATGACAAAACTGAAAAACCAAATACTGACATAAATTAAGTTACAGACCTACATGTTATGAAACTGAGGGAATATGTGTTTCAACTCTGTAATCAAAAGCAATCAGTTCCCACAGAAAAGGCTTCGTGACATCCAGAGATTAAAAATATTGCACCATAGTAAGAATGCAAAGGCACTCTGAATGATGTTCAGCTAAGGATTCCTGCCGAAGTATCTAGTCATACCCTCACAGTTGTCTTCACATCACAGTATTTTAATATCAAAGCTAAGTTCCATCATTTGGAAGCTGAAGATCTAAATGTCAAACTTTTCCCAGAAAAACTTATTTGAAGGCCTCACCACTTGGGAAGAATCAAGGAAGGCCTGACACTTAGGAAGAATCAAGTTGGGAAGAAACAGAAAATGGGTGAAAAAACGTGTCACAGAAAGCCCAAGGCAGAAAACCATCAAACAAAACAGCTATCACATGCGAAATCAAGACTAGCAAAAGGGAAAAACAAAACAAAACCACAAAAATCTTGAATGAAGACAATTCAAAGCAAGGACATGAATCAAAATACAGGTAATATACATATGACACTTAAGAGTAGCAAATGACAACGTGGCAGGAGTGATATTAAAAAATCATGGAATTTTGCCAAAAATGCTCAACTATAGTACCTTTCTAAAAATAAAAGCCACACATTTCAAAAAAGCCTCTTTCCCCATAAAAAGTGTAACAATCAAGTGGCAGGAATAATTCAAAAACAAAAGAGCAAATTATTCTAGATAAGGCTGAAATAGGAAATACAATTCTAAATCTAGGAAAGTTGAAGAGACAGGAGACTGAATTTCAGCATGTCTTAAGCAAGGAAAAAAACTCAGGAAAGTCTTCCTAAAGGTACCCCAAAGTTTCTTAACATCCAAAGAATAGGATGTTACATTCAGGATAACTTAAGAGCTCATGAAAGCCACAGGCAGAATGTCAACACTGTAAAGAAACCATATAAACGTATGATAACTTCAACAGTGGAAATCTTAAAAATATATATGTACTGGATATCCCAGAAAAAGATGAATTACTCTAAGGCATGTCAGTCTAACTTGGAATAGACAGAACTGACTAGTACGTTAAAGGTTAAAGATCCTCTTTGTGTACCTGGAAAGTGATACTTCGGGCTGCAACTTCTTCAAACGAGTTGTCCTAGGTTGCAATGTAAGATGTGCCTAAAAGTATTCTATTACCATCTTCATGAGCTGTTGAAACCAGGTGGGGCAGTGTTTTCCTTGCCTCCAGACTATCTTCTGCTAAGGGGCCCATCCATGCCTTGTCCCACGACTCATAGAGAACTCCTTCCAGGAGCTATCTGTTTAACGGGCAATCAAGAACCCACCGCATGACTCCTAGAATGACATCAGCCCACTGTGAGATGCTCCGCCCAGGGGGAGGAGCCAAGTGCTCCCACCCAGATATAATCTGGGGTTCAGAAAGCACAAGGAACCCTTACCCACTGGATTTCCAGAGGACAAGAGCTGCCAGGCCTTTCTACAGGATCACTGCTTCAGCAAGACCACTTCATCTGGACTGCTACCACCATCCTAACTAACAGTCAGGTTCTGTTCTGACTCTGTCAGTGGTTTTTGGTTTTTTTTGTACTATTGCCTTTACTTTATTTTTCCTATTAAATTGTATTTCTGACTTGAAGTCTCTATCTGGTTTGCTTTCAAACCATTATACGAGTGTTTTTCTGCTCTGCCTGGGAAGAACACCACCTGCCGATTTTGTCTAAGTAAGAGTACAAAACTTAGTCTCATCAATGACATTCCTGTTGAAAGTGATCTTGATGAACGAGAAAGAACTCTCACAAAAAGAAAGCCTGTGTGCATAGCATCTTCAAAGCAAATCACCATCGAAGAGTTACACCCCACCTACCTTTTGGAGAAATTCAGCTTTCCGAGCTCTGTTTACTCTAAGGTTTTCTAATAAAAACAATGTAGAGGCTGCTAGCAGCTTTATGTATTAGAAAAAAGATGTGAGCATGTACGTGCGAGGGAAGTACAGGAAGAGGCTTTCCTTTGCAGTAAAGATTCTGCAGGACATCCTAGCACTCCTTTGAAAGATTTAATAAAGCGTGCTATGTTATAAGTAAACATTTATTGAATTCTCAGATGTGAACTACCTATATACATCACATGAAGTAGCCGATGTTTCTATATTCATCTGTCCCGCTCTATAAAGATAGATTTAAGAGTACTCCAGAGACAACCTAGACAGCCTGCTGATATCTGGACTTTTGGTGGAATAACTCTTTTGGCCTTCTTCGATACAGTGACAGACTGATTTAGCTCCCTCACTTCACTAGATATGTCCACAATTTCTCTCTGCAACCTATCAATCAACTGCTGAAGACTCAAAATTGGAAAGTATTAGTTTTTTCCTAATGAATTTGCCAGAGATGCAGCTACCTGGCTGATAGGCAATGACTATATTGCATTGTTTTTCTTAAAATATAGCTCCCCCACGGGCAATTATTTCGCCCCAAAATCTTAAGAACACCACCTAATTATCATGTTTTAATGCCCTTATTAACTATACTTATACAGACCGATTGCCCTGTTCAGCAAATGCAGAATACATTAGGATGCATGATTTTTATTTATACCAAAAGACAGACAGCTGGGACAACTGCAGGTGCATATATTTCCATGGATGCTTAGAGATGGTGCCTACTGACAGACTTCATTTTAACCTGACAGTAATAATTAATGTAACAAGCACACTGTCTAAACAGTTTCAGCTTATACTATTGTCAATAGAAGTATCACATCACAGTTGAATTTTAATCTTCATTCCTTCTCACAAGTGTTCAACAGTTAGGGCAATAAAAGCAGCATCTGCCTTGACTCCCTTTTTGAGCTTCTTTGGCAAACCAGGAAGACCTATGGTGCATGACCTATGTGTATAATTCCCCGTGGCTTTTCAAACAAAACCCTTATGTTGCCAGATTGTTTCATCTACTGACCCTGCAGCTTCCAGTTGGTTAAGGCCTCCATACTACTGTTTCACTACTACTGCCATGTGAACCAAAAAGCAAAAACATCCAAGGAACTACCACTACAGCATTCTCTGAAGAAGCACAGATCCCAAGAGAGGCACTGTGAAAATCAACTGGGAAAACCACAAAGTTACTTTAAACACCAAATGCAAGCTATTAAAAATGAAATTAACTTATCAATATGGAAGATCCATCTCTGAGTAAAAAAATCTGCAAAGTTCAGATAAAGAGAACTTCCACCATTTCTCCACACAACATAAAAAAATAACCTAAGCAGTACTGATTTATCTTACGCCTAAGATTTGAATTTAATGTAATTCCACTGTTACTAAAGCTACCACCTTTGAGTCATGCAAATCAGTATTTTCACACATATATTTTAATTCACCATTGCAAGGTTATGGTTCTAGAATCTTTACAGTTTATATAATACTAGTCTATAACCTAGTTCAGGTCTTCAAATTACTAGACTGAGTCTGTATGTTCCTCAATTCATTCAAAAGTAATTGTACCCAAGTATTTTACAGTTAAAGGAATAAAAATTTACCTCATTGACTGTTACAGGCTGTGCTGTTACAGTAGTCATTGGCCTGGATACAGGTTGAGCCACTACAGGAACCGTGATATTTCTTGACACTTGCTGTGTTGTCACTGGACTGGTTACATGCCTGCCAACAGGCTGTGATATTCCAGAACTTGACCCAGGTATCTGCTGTGTTGATAAACATCCACCAACTGGTCCCTGCAATGTTTCTGAAGTTCCTGAAACATTCACTGATATAGACAATGGCTGAACTGCTACAGAGCTAGCTGTAGGTCTGGATACAGATTGAAAGGCTGATGAAACAGGCATGGCACTGGGGCTGGAGGCAGGCATCATGTAATGGTGACTGTCAGGCTTGAATGTAGTAACTGTACCTGTTGCAAAGGATTCCAAAGTTATCTTTATATAATTTTGCAGTCAGGTGTTTCATAAGTGTTGTGGATTTTTTTGTTTTTAATTACCATATTAGGACAATAAAGTACCTCTACTGGGTGCACCATTCTGTATCCCCCTTCGTGATGAGCTGAGGTTGACTCTGTTCAATATATCTGTCAAAAGTTACATTTAGCTTAATTATAGTTAAATTAATAGTTTAATCAAGTTTCAAATTAAAAGTAGCATTCATATTCCCTAATTAAGCCAATTAGGATTTGACTTATAAATTAGAACATTTCTAAAATACCTGGCAAAACAGAATGTCATTTCTACAAGTTAAGATATACTCTTTTACTGCCCTTCGGTTAGTTCACCTAAGAAACTCAGATTTTATTTTCCTGGAAATAAATTAACACACAAATAAGAGTGCAAACAAAAAAGAACATTTAATAAATATTTCATTTTGGCAATTATAATGCATTTATTCACTTCCATTTCTCATATACGTAAGTTCCCCAAATAGTAGAACTGCTGTACACTAAAGGAAGCATTTTGTCTAAAGCAGTAACGACACAATTTGCTTCTGTACCACAGGAAAATGCAGCACTTACAAACTTGTTTTTAAATATCATGATCTCCATATTCATATGTGAAAGGAAAATCAACAGTCCAGCAATCAGAGTTGCATTGGAATTGCACTACAAGAGGACTGATTTTCTTACACATCCTATATGGCAGTCCTAGATTTCTACCAAAATAGAAACATATGGAATTTCTTAGGTTTGATGTTTACTCTCTAACTAATGCCACTAACATTGCCTGACTTTTAAAGTCTTCATCTGGGGTTTCTGATCATTCCAGAACATCACAAAAATATTGATCAAATCAAAATATTTTCCTACAATCAGATTCTCAGTTCTGTCAGTGTTGCTGTCATGTTTCTTGCTCCGACATATAAAAATACACATATGAAATTAGAATGATCCTCCAGTATCTGACCAACAAGGTTTAAAGAACAAGGGTCAAGACAGGGTCAAATTACATTACAATCTCAAACAATAGACCTTACCAGCATCTACACATTGTGTTTAACAACCTTCAGGATGTTTCTGCCAGCAATGGCTTGTTAATGTACACTACTCAAGTTGATAACTCAATCCAATAGCAGCAGAGATAATAAGGTCAAAGTTTTCAACCTGTCGCTTGCATTTAGATCACACTAATAAAAGCCAGCTGCAACCAACAGGACCAAACAGGTTTGCATTTTTTAAGATACTACAAAACTTCATCCTGTAAAAGTACCACTAGTTTTACCTCAACACAACACTAACTACAGGCTTAAGGATTAACTTAATTCGGGATTTAGCTGAACACATACCTTTTTGTGTTTGTTAATAAATCTATACCTTGAATTTTAATTCCAGAGTGAAATGAAACTAAAGCCTTCATCTACCTACAAAAAAGCAACACTATCCTGAAAGTTACATCTCGCAGAGCATCTTGAGCTTCAGTCTCACATGCATACAACTAACATCCTAAAATGCAAAGGCAGATTTTACCATTTTTATTTAAAAAGAACATTTGAGGACGTCAGTGATTTGAAGTTATGAACTAGATCTGCAACTAAAAAACTCAACTGATTCATCATAGGCTCGATGTGCCTTTTTCCCTCCCCCAATGTACTTTTTGCCTTGTTCAGGGTAAACAGCACAAAGGTATAAGAAAGCTAACATGCAGAATAACATTCTAATAAGTAGCAACAACTTACAGGTTTAAATCCTTGTGAGAAAGAAAGCAAGAAAAATGCGCAGTAACTAGAGGAAAAATAAGCAATTGCAGGAAAAGGTAAAGGGAACAAAACATGAACTATTTTTTTACCCCAGTCAAACTAATCCTGCAGTACATCAGAAGTGGCACTTTATTGTACATGACACTGTGCCAGAACATAAAAGTTGGGTTTTTAACTATTTCCTTCAAGTTTCCTACACCAGTCTGTATAAAAACTCACAACTGCATTGTCAGGGAAAAAAAAAAAAAAAAAAAAAAAAATACTACCTTTCAGAAAAATTAAGTGCATGTGAGCCTTCATTTGTCATCTAATTTTTCATCTAATCACACAGGAATTTACTCAGGTAAAAACTAAATAGTGATAAGCAAAGCTGAGTTCACTGTGGATGGCCTATCACCAGTAACAAGCTGAAGCCTGACTTCTGCCAGGTAGTACTACTTACAAGCCAAAGAAGAACTGAGGTCATTCTTCCATAGCTGTTTTTGATAGTGAAGTAGAAGATTACAAAGGGAAAAGTTGAGGAAAAGGAAGGAAAAGAGATAAAGTAAAAAGTTATACGATAAGTGATTTTACTTGTGTCAGGACTGAGTGTGGACAGCAGTGGAATAAAGATGTATAAACTCTAAGTATCTACCTTTGAACCAAAGTTCTTGAAGTTGCTGAATTATATGAAAATTATAGCTTTCAACTGAACTACTTCTTTACAACTAAAAAAAAAATCTTGGGACTATAATGACTCCAACGAAACTTGGCACATTTGTTGTTCCAACATATGCCTAGTGCCTTATTAGTTGTTCTATGCCAATGACCAACAGCAATGCAGAGGTCTCTGGACCTTCCAGAAAACAGCGAAGAGTTTCAGCCTCTCTAAAAATTTCTAACTACAGAAAACTTCTTAAAGTAATCTTAAATTACTCTTCAAATTTTCAAGAGTATCTAGAACTTTTTAGATATTAAAAAAATATTAACCGTTAAGAAGTACTTTCATCTCACCTTGAACATCAGCTTCAGTATTGTTTTAATATTTAAAACTCTTTTCTACCTTAAGCCAGCATAAGTAAGCACTACTTAAGTAAGGTTATGCTTACTATCCCAGTGAGTAACAAAGTAAAATGGAGTTCAGATGCAAGACCAAAGTATTGTGAACAAAAACGACTGAACAACTAACAATAGCTCCAAAGGCCATGCAGAGTGTGATAGAGAGCCTAATTTAACTTTTTGTCTTGAGATTCTTCAGAGCAATCTATACACCTTCAGAAAATGACTGTGGAAATCTTGGATACAAACATAGCTGAGATGAGGCAGACACTGGAAGCAGTAAACCTCACCAGGCCGTCTCGTCTATTCCATAGCTTGCTAAACCTTAGGTCACACCTCTCGACAACTGCTTACAATATGGAGAGCTACACACAGAAGTCAAGATAATTCATTACTAAAATTAGGTAACAAAAATAACATTCTCCTTTACTTACCTGCCAAAGCCCAAGCACAGGAAAAACATGGAATCCTGACACATCTGTTGTCACAACAACCACCTAACCTCACTCCCTGCATTAAGAAAAAACTACAAAACTTGGTGAAGAAAAATACCTCTATTTCACAGGGAATTATTTTTTATTCATAAAAATCTCTTACTTAACAGAGAAGCTTCTACTATTTTCACATTAATCACTTTTCCTGATTGTGCTTTGACTACAGACACTTAAGACAGTTACCTTGGTTTTGTCAGAATGATGTCCACCCATTCAGATTGCTCACCAACACATGAAACATGGGGTGGAGAAAAAGAGGGACTGTAACACGAAGGATTAAATTCATGCACATTCCTTTAGCAGGGAGACACTGTCAAGTATATAACCAAGTATCAACTATATCGAGAACAATTGCATGCATGGCTTCAGCATTGCATATACTGGATTTTTAACTATACTGCTAATGCTAAAAATGTCGTGTCCTTGTTTTGATTTCAGAAACTTAAGGTTAGAGGTAAACAAAGCTGTGTATAATCTGTTTTTTTTTCAGTAGGACAGCAACCTACAGAACAGTTTTAAGATGTAGAATTTATGTCTTACTGTTAAAAATTCTATGTTCCTAAAGAAGGTTTAAAGTTTTACATCTCAAAATATCTGTTTTAAACTACGGAAAACATTATCTTACATGTACTAGCTGTCTTCGAGCTTGTGATTTCCCCAACAAAGATTGGCTCATCATCATCATCATCATCATCCTCCTCCACTTCTTTCACTCTCTTTTGCCAGGGTTCTAGCTCCTCTTCTTCACATTCCATAAATAACTCTGCCATCTTGAGACTAGACAGTAAAAAACAAAACACACATACCAAAACATTCAGTACTTTGATGAAAGAAATGTTTCACTGTTTCACCTGATGATAATTCTCATAAACCAGTTTTCCCCTTGGCTCTATGCAAGTTTTATATTGGATCAGGTTCAACATCTTCAAAGACTGACACCACATCACCTTCCTGATAATTACTTGAATTCTCATATTTGCTATTAAAAATGAGAAAAGGCAAAAGACATCCTCCACATAATTTAAGATACTTTTGTACAATGCACCACAGTAGCTAACAGAGGAAGCTTCTGACACCACAGGGAAAGGTATCTTTCACAAAATACTCCTATTCCAGGTAAGTGATTCAAAAGAAAACGCCCCAAAACCCACACAACACAAACAAACCACCCGCATAAAAAACCTCAAACAAAAACCCCACAACAACAAAATCTCTAAACCATACCCACAACACACTGTACAGTGCTTTCATTAGCAATGAAGACTTAGTAAAAACCTTGCACAGATCTCATCAGACTCAAGTGCTTCATGGTTGGAGACTTGCTCTTGCAATAAGGCAAAAAAGTAACGTATGAAAACAGTAATGATGACATGCAAGTCTTAGAATTAAGCAGATTAACATCAGCACCTCTGTTCTGCCTCCGTTTAAGAGCTCAGGGCAGGACCCCACAAGCTATACCAAACCCAACCTTGGCTGGCACAGCCCCACCGTGCTCCCAACCTGAGCACCCACTGCCTGCCTCCTTGATGGAGCGTGAAGGGGGAAGTGGGAGGGAATAACCGCTCCCTCGGGACCCTCCGGGTCCTGGTTGTTGCCTGTCCCGCCCCAAGCCTCAAACCACAACAACCTCTAATCACAGCTGGGTTCGTTTTTTCAATTAAATGGTTATGGCCAATGATTTTTTCTTCTTTCCTTTCACATAATCTAACGAACTAACAAACTTAAAAATGTTTCTGAAGAATACAGGAAATAAGAAAATTTCATATTTCTTTACACACACTACCAATAATCAACTTTGTAATAAGACCGGTAATTTCATAAAACCCACAGGGTTGTCTTAGCAATAGCCAGGATGAGTATCCCAATACAAGAGTGTTTGCTTCATCTAAGATACAGAGCTTCACAAAATTCTATGGCTCCATTTTCTGGCAAATCGGAGGAGAAACAATACAGTTTTGCACAAGAAACCCAACAATAACTTCAGCCAATACAGGAATTCCTTGAAATTAATGAGCAGTTAAAGTACATGAAATTTAATTCAGCATTGGATGACTTCCACAAAAAGTAAAGAAACTCTGAGCAGCAGTTCCTTCTATGAAGGCCACAATCAACATAAGAATACTTCTAGTCCCTTTCAAAAAAAATATTTCAGGAGTCATATCTATATTAAATATTTGGTCAAGTTTCCTTTTTGGAAGTATAATTATGCAAAATTAGATGACAACTTCCTCCTCCAAATG